TTTTATAAATTTTTCACCTAAAAGGACTTTTATAAATTTTTTAAAAGCAGATTGGATCAAATTCACAGAGGAAATTGAGGAGGGTTTCTTTTCAGCGATTCCACCTTCCGGAGTTGCCGCCGGAGAGAAATTCTTGAGGGACCTGGTGCTCAGGGCAGCACGCCACCACATCCCCGCTGGCCGTATTCGCCACTTCACTCCCTCTCTTTCCCCCGAGTCTACTGCCCTTGCCGCCGAAAGAGATTTAAGCCGACAACAAAATCTCCCCCCAGAAGTCATATCCCAACTGAACTGTAGACTCATGAAACAGACAGCAAAGGACAAAGAAAATAAATGGCGAGAATTCCTCCGGACTTGCGACTACCGCACTGGTGCCAGAAAGTTCTGGAAAGTGGTACGCTCCTTAAATGGATCTAAGCCCGTGGCAGGAAGACACCCCATTACTTTTGGTTCTAAACCCATACACTCACCTCGTGATATTACCAGCTCTTTTAACAAACAATTCACCAATGCCAGACCCCACGCCTCTGACAAACTCCTTCGTATAACGAGAAGAAAAATTGCCAAACTACCGCTGTCAGACAGCCCAATTTTTACCCCTGAAAATACTAAACAAGCCATTGCAGACAGCAAACCATCGCGAGCGCTAGGTCCCGACGGCCTTTGTAATATACATCTTAAACATCTCGGCCGACTTGCTACTCAATACTTAACATACCTTTTTAATATCTCTTTGTCCGAAAACATTATCCCCCAAATTTGGAAAAATTCAAAAATTGCACCGCTTCCAAAGCCCAATAAGGATCTTAAACAATCAACATCTTACAGACCTATATCCTTACTCTGCCCAGCAGTTAAAATTCTGGAGAGGCTCGTTCACCCCATCTTTACCAAACATCTCCCCAACGCCAAACACCAACACGGCTTCCGCCCTTTTCACTCCACCACCACAGCACTCTCCACTCTCGAAATTTACATTTCAGACGGTTTTAACCAAAATCGCCCCCCTAAACGTACGGTACTGGCCACACTTGACTTATCTAAGGCTTTCGACATGGTGTGTCATCGCTCACTTGTGGAACTCGTTCATGACACTCCCCTCCCAAGAAGTCTAGTCCGCTGGCTAAGTAATTACCTTAATGGTCGACAGGCTGCCACCTCATTCCGTGAACACACATCGCCCCATCGAATAATCCACTGTGGCGTACCCCAAGGTTCTGTTTTATCACCCACACTCTTCAATTTTTATGTCCATGATGCACCGCCACCTCCCGATAATGTAAACCTTGTTTCGTATGCAGACGATTTCCACCCCTTCGCAAGCAGTTCCAATATTGATATCGCCTCAAACTCCATCAATAGCTACCTAAAAAGGCTCTACGATTTTTTCACCTCACGCAAACTAAGTTTCGCGTCCTCTAAAGGATCAGTTACACTTTTCTCCTCTTAAAACAAAGAATTTAATAAAACACCTAGTGTTCTTTTAAATAACGAGGCGCTACCCCTAAACAAAAATCCAACAATCTTAGGGGTGACATTTGATCCAACACTTTGTTTTGCCACTCACTGCAAACAATCCGCTGAAAAGGCCAGACGCAGGATCGGAATCCTGAAGGCATTAGCAGGATCAACCTGGGGTCACTCCAAAGAAACCCTCCTCCTAACTTTTAAAGCTCTAATTCGCCCCATACTTGACTATGCAGCCCCCGCATGGTCCCACGCATCAAGTAACACCTCCATAAATTGCCTGCAGGTTGCCCAAAACCAATCACTTCGCGTTGTTACTGGATCAAATCTAATGAGTTCCACTGCCCACCTGCACAGTGAATCTGAAATCCTAACGGTCAAAGACCACCATACCCTTCTGTCATCTCAATTTTTTATCTCTACCTATCGTTCCCACCATCCCATTAATTTTATACATTCACATCCCCCTCCTCCCCGTCTACTTCGCCCCTCAATTATAAGCTGCTTCAAAGAAGACACCCAGAAAATTTTAACCGACTTTTCAGTCTACGCAAACCACCCTCTAGTTCTGGACGACAGAGACGAAGTCTCCACTTTTATTTTTAACTACTACAAACCAATTTTAAAAGACAACCATACCTCCCATGTAACCAAGTTCCTAGCCGAAACCCCTCCGTCTAAAGTTATTTGTATCCCTCCACCAAAGATTGACCCCTCTGAAAAATCTCTCCCACGTCCCACGCGCTGTAAGCTCTCCCAACTCCGGTCTGGCTACAGCCGGCTCCTTAACACTTACCTATCCCGCATCGACAGCTCCATCTCCCACCTTTGCCCAACCTGTTCCCTTGCCCCCCACACAACATGTCACCTTTTCAACTGCTCCCAAAACCCCTCCCCACTCACCCCAGCAGACCTGTGGCTTCGGCCGGTAGAGGTTGCTAAGTTCCTTGACCCGGAGACAGAAGAACCCAACCCGACCCGCGTGGGCTAACAACAACAACAACAAGCCAACAGAAAAATTTCCTGATTTGAAAAGAAAACAAAAAATCATAACGAACTTTAACAGAGCCTGAACTAAGTTCATCGACTCCTAAAACTATCATTAAAAAAATGAAAAACTAAATCTATAAAAACTTCAGGTTTGTATCGGATAATGTTCATAAATAGCCTTAGAAAAGCATTAAATCATGACTGAGGGGCAAACAGTTTAGATCGAAACAAAAATCCATGATTGGCGAGGTAAGCTAAAAAAAGATAAATGAATCGACGGATATAGGGACGAAAACGAAAAAATACTACTTAAATTGAGCTCAATCTAATTACTACCTAAATGACAGTGGTTTCACCTTTTCAAAATATAGTCAGCAGACAGTTGGAAAAGAATCATGAACGCAAGTAAACGGGAAAAAAATAACTTGTTTTTTGAAAGAAAAACATCGTGTTTCGAAATTTAAAGAAAAAATAACTACCTTGAAGCTCTTTGAATTTGAGGAAAAAATTATGAATTGTACTTTTTGATAAAATTAACCCAATTTGAGAAAACTTGATCGATACGTAAATTTATTATCACGCTGGTAAATCTGAAAATTGGAATCCACTTAGGAGAATAACGTTTTTTTGTGACACGAAACTAGAAGTCGATCACGTTTTTTGTGACCTTTTCACTTTTGATGTTCACTGTTCACGATAGTTGATTTTGCCTCCCTTTCAACAAAAGAAATGAACTGAACCTATAAAAATAAATTAAACTTCATACGACGAAAAAGTAACCAAACGTCAAACCGCAAAAAATCAAACTTTATCGTGAACAAATTTTAGACTTTTCTTAACAAAAAAAAATCACCAAAACCTATGAAAAAATTTTCACTAAGTTCATGATTCGTTAAAACTGAGCATGTCGGGAGCCTCAAGGTATAAGTAACTGCACGTTATTTTTTACGATTTGTAAAATGTTGTTTACGGAAAAAAATCTGGTTCCCGATTTCAAGTATACTTAAAAATGACAAATAATCGTGGATACACAACCTAATCAATGGTACACAATGTGATCGCTAGTACAGAACCTTCGTACATATTGGTTGCAAAAAATGGTAAAATTCACAGCAAAAAAAAACATCAAACAGGTCAGGTAAAAAAACTACAATTTTCAACTAATGTAAAAGAGCAAGAAAACTAACTCTTCCTTTGATGTTAAATGTCCAATTCAAATTTCGAATACAGAGATGAGTTGAAGTTTTTCGTTAGTTCGCTATAGAAAACAAAACTCTGTAAAAAACATCAGTTCCTGCACAAGGATTCTTGTCATTCCAGAAATGGACCATTCCTGAATTTTTTTGAGCTTGGTTTAAATTTGGTTAGCAGAAAAAACATACTTTTGAGTTGTTTGCCAGGAAAACCTATTTTACGATTTGACAACAATTGCAAATCACTGAAATTAGAAAAAATTCCTTTAGCTTTCAACTACGTCAAAAAAACTTACTTGAAAATGCAAAACAATCAGAAAAAATTGTGCACAAAAACATTTAGAGTTGCAACCTTTCACACGCCGGACGGTGACAACTAAGAGACGGAAAGAACTAAGTCGAAGAAAAAGTATTGAAAAAACATTTTTTTGGAACAAATGAAAAATTCAATAACAGAAAAACAGTCGGTAACACAAATACCAGCATTAAATACGCCGTTACCATTTATCGAGCGTCTGCTAAGCCGACAATAAGTGGGAAGACGACCATTGAGCCGAAAACATAGACAAATACTATAAGACATTGACACCACCAAAACTTTGATAAATCATGTGGACCGAAGGAAACTTTCAAATGAAACAAAAATGGAAAAAATATGCGAGCAGGGGTAAGCAAAATTACATGAGAAAATCAATAATACTTGCAATTACATAAAATAGTAATTACAGCACAAAAAAATCCTTATAAAAATTTTTCAAGAAAATTTCTTCCCGATAACAAGAAACTGATTTTCTATACTGTATAGATTAACTGAAAAACACTGAAAATTGACACTAAAACGGTCTCTATTTTTTTAAAAAAAACTTCAAATGCTGTTTCTAAAAAAATGGAAAGAGTTAAATGAGAAAACAACTAAGATAGAGCCTTGCCGAAAACGTTGCAAAATTGCTAACAACGTAGGAAATTCAAAATCTTTCGGGACAAGATACTTGACTTGAAATGAGCCAACTGTAAGAAAAACATCTAGTAGCTGACTATACTACAAAAATTCTAGAAGCTGACTTTACTACAAAAATTATAGTAGCTGACTTACAAGCAAGATCGTTGAAAAAGAAACGCAATCCTTAAATACGATTAAACTCACCCTATTTATTCATCAAAATATACATGGTCTTGTTTCGATTCGAGCAACATTCCAAAGAATAGGGAAAATTGCGGACCTGTATGAAACTAAATTCCGTCAAGAAACACTTAAACAACTATAGACTGATTTTTGAGAAACCCTTATTTTGCTATTTGCTTAGCACTATGAATCTATCATCCCGCTTACTTCAACGTTCAAAAGCAAAATCCAATGAAACTGTATTTTTCATATTCATTATTAAGCAGCAATTCTCGCATATTTTCAGACTGCAATCAATATGCAACTCATAACACAACAAAAATGACCCTGAATTAATTTCTATATGGAAACCAATCACAGCGCAACTATCTGAAGAGAATCATATTTTAGTACGACTGACAGACAAATTATCGAATCGAAACTCTAATAGCAATCCATGGCGACGTGAACAGCTTGTGATTCGGCCATTAATTGTTCACATACATGAATGAATGAAGTCCACTTCCGCTCTTGTTCACTAACAACTTCTTCAGTCCGCCTTCCGATCGCAACCTGAAAAAAAAAACAGACAAAAAATGAAGTTCAGAAAAGAAATTACAGAAAATGACTATCCTTAGACAGGTGTTATTATTACCACAACTTTTATTATTATTAAAACGGAGAAATTCAACTTTCAGGCTTTTGGTTCCGATTACTAGCAAACTTTCCCACTGTTGTGAAATTTGGTCATTAGACTTGCTCGGCTACTACAAACAAATTTGGTTCTCATAGCTAATTTGTGAAACCAGAGGCGAATTTAGGGGGGGGGGGGCCACCCCCCCCCCCTCGGGGATTAGACCTCCTGCCGACCCAAAGCGTCCCCCTTTTGTACTATTTTAGATATCCATTTTTGGTGACAGACCGTAAATTTTTTCTAATGGCTCCTTCGGCGCCAATATATACTAATTTTGAGGGGGAGCACGTGCCAAAAAAACGCAATTTTTTAGTCAAAATTTATCAAAAAGTGCCCAAAAATCCACACCCCCACCCCCCTCGAGAAAGTTCTAGATCCGCCACTGTGTGAAACCACACATTACACCAAAAAACCTAAAACTTAAGTTTATATAAGGTGCTGGAGAAAAGCTGACTTTTATCCTTCAGCCAAATTTCATAACCATGGAACCGGAAGATTTCTCAGGGTTGTGCAAGGGGACCGAACTTGTTTGGATTTTTTAAATGGTCCACATAGCGTTACAAAAGGACAATGTGATCAATAACTGAATTAGCAAATTTTCAACTAAGGGTTGACAAAGAGCCAGAATTTCTTGAAGTGAAACGCTGCGCATCAGGTCTCAAATTGGTTTTTTTCATGATAGCAAAAATTAAATTTCTAGGCTGTCATCAAACCGCTACTGCGCTACTGGCTTCATTCGTTTGTAAATTAAATTTTGCTTGAACCTCTTGCATTTACTCCATACCTCAATGTGATGAACTAGCATTCTGTCACTTGATGAGTCACTTAGAAATTTCTCCAGCCAATCAGGGACCACCAACTTTTTACCATCTGAAGTTAACAATTGCTTTTTTTCGCTCTCAGTCTTAAGCTGAGAATCAGCAGTCTGATTATCATTCGCAGATATGCAGAGAAGCTTAGCGGCCAGTGACTTTGTCTGATAGCTGAAAGCAGATTTGGATTCAGTTGAAACCTTCAAATTGCTCATAATTCATAATTAATATCCACCCCCTTGAAAAAAACCATGAGAGAACGGGGTATAGACTGGCGATCAGTTGATCCGCAGGCTGTTGCCAAATCTTTTAAATCTCCAAAACCTTGGGATTTTCTCTCCGATTTGTAAAGCAATCAGTACCTCAAAATTCGACCCCTCAAATGCCATGCCTACGATTTTTCTTTAAATAACATAGCTGCAAACCTCAAATGGCTTTCAAAAAACAACAACAGAAAACTTGCTGAAACATTAAGCCATTTCGTACCTGCATAAATCTGATTCCAAGGTACGCATGAATACTTCTTTGCTCACATACTTTCTCATAATGCTACAATTCTCCATCAATTGCATCATCTCACTGTGGATTACGTCATCGCAAAAGCATGAACAATGGTTGAAAAACTCTTCCGCATAAGTCTCAGACAGACAGTCATTTATCTCGTTTTCGCATGTGACTTGAATGAGTTTGCACACAGATCCAAGCACGTAAACAGTTGAATCTTTCATCAAAATTAGAATCATATTCGAAAAATCTGTCAGTATATTGTGATTGGAACTAGAAGTGAAATACACGATAGTTCCGTAGGATCTACTTCTTGTTCAAAAGGCTGCGATCAACAGCGATGGGCAAGTTTAGTTTGAAAAAGTTAAGACACAGTCGAAGCTGCACTTCGCAAACTCAAGCAAAACGCGGCAAAAAGAAATTAACAGTCAAGAAAAAACAAAAACGTCTGTAGAGAAACTAAGCTCTCAATAGCAAAAAAATTAGTGGAATTACATATTGAAACCACGGACCTCTAACGTTGAGTTATTCATAATTTTGTCTTCAAAATTTTGCAGTTCGATAGTGGAGTTTTATTTCCTTTTTCAATAAAGTGAAATGAACTTTGAAAAAATCAAACAAAAATCATACCGCGATGAATCAAATTGAACAAATTGAAAATAACACAAGACTGCTCGTATCAGGGCGAAGCCCTGAATGTTCCGACTGCCTTTTAATGTTTTTGGAGCAGTAAAAACATAAATATCATTAACAAATTAAATGTAATAAAAAAAATGAAAATATTTTCGATGAAAATCATCCCCCTACACGCCATATAAACTACAAAAGCATAAATTTCGCTCCTTGTAACAAATCAAAAATGGCAAACAATTTTCTTTCAACCAATTTGGAATTATTTCTGAGACGGATTAAATCTCCGACTACGCGTTAATAGCGCGAAATATCGCCCATTAATTGTCCCAAATTGGCCAAAATGGCAATCTTTAAACCCCCATAACTTTATGACACACAAACCAGAATCCCTTTTAACTCAGAAAACCAACTCTCGTCACCAGATATTTCCCTCGCATCCCAATCGCTCTTACTCTCCACATCATGGACCCCAATTAAATCTCTAGGATCAGATCACCTACCCATTCTTCTAGAACTACCCTTGGATGATTTTATAAATTTTTCACCTAAAAGGACTTTTATAAATTTTTTAAAAGCAGATTGGATCAAATTCACAGAGGAAATTGAGGAGGGTTTCTTTTCAGCGGTTCCACCTTCCGGAGTTGCCGCCGGAGAGAAATTCTTGAGGGACCTGGTGCTCAGGGCAGCACGCCACCACATCCCCGCTGGCCGTATTCGCCACTTCACTCCCTCTCTTTCCCCCGAGTCTACTGCCCTTGCCGCCGAAAGAGATTTAAGCCGACAACAAAATCTCCCCCCAGAAGTCATATCCCAACTGAACTGTAGACTCATGAAACAGACAGCAAAGGACAAAGAAAATAAATGGCGAGAATTCCTCCGGACTTGCGACTACCGCACTGGTGCCAGAAAGTTCTGGAAAGTGGTACGCTCCTTAAATGGATCTAAGCCCGTGGCAGGAAGACACCCCATTACTTTTGGTTCTAAACCCATACACTCACCTCGTGATATTACCAGCTCTTTTAACAAACAATTCACCAATGCCAGACCCCACGCCTCTGACAAACTCCTTCGTATAACGAGAAGAAAAATTGCCAAACTACCGCTGTCAGACAGCCCAATTTTTACCCCTGAAAATACTAAACAAGCCATTGCAGACAGCAAACCATCGCGAGCGCTAGGTCCCGACGGCCTTTGTAATATACATCTTAAACATCTCGGCCGACTTGCTACTCAATACTTAACATACCTTTTTAATATCTCTTTGTCCGAAAACATTATCCCCCAAATTTGGAAAAATTCAAAAATTGCACCGCTTCCAAAGCCCAATAAGGATCTTAAACAATCAACATCTTACAGACCTATATCCTTACTCTGCCCAGCAGTTAAAATTCTGGAGAGGCTCGTTCACCCCATCTTTACCAAACATCTCCCCAACGCCAAACACCAACACGGCTTCCGCCCTTTTCACTCCACCACCACAGCACTCTCCACTCTCGAAATTTACATTTCAGACGGTTTTAACCAAAATCGCCCCCCTAAACGTACGGTACTGGCCACACTTGACTTATCTAAGGCTTTCGACATGGTGTGTCATCGCTCACTTGTGGAACTCGTTCATGACACTCCCCTCCCAAGAAGTCTAGTCCGCTGGCTAAGTAATTACCTTAATGGTCGACAGGCTGCCACCTCATTCCGTGAACACACATCGCCCCATCGAATAATCCACTGTGGCGTACCCCAAGGTTCTGTTTTATCACCCACACTCTTCAATTTTTATGTCCATGATGCACCGCCACCTCCCGATAATGTAAACCTTGTTTCGTATGCAGACGATTTCCACCCCTTCGCAAGCAGTTCCAATATTGATATCGCCTCAAACTCCATCAATAGCTACCTAAAAAGGCTCTACGATTTTTTCACCTCACGCAAACTAAGTTTCGCGTCCTCTAAAGGATCAGTTACACTTTTCTCCTCTTAAAACAAAGAATTTAATAAAACACCTAGTGTTCTTTTAAATAACGAGGCGCTACCCCTAAACAAAAATCCAACAATCTTAGGGGTGACATTTGATCCAACACTTTGTTTTGCCACTCACTGCAAACAATCCGCTGAAAAGGCCAGACGCAGGATCGGAATCCTGAAGGCATTAGCAGGATCAACCTGGGGTCACTCCAAAGAAACCCTCCTCCTAACTTTTAAAGCTTTGATTCGCCCCATACTTGACTATGCAGCCCCCGCATGGTCCCACGCATCAAGTAACACCTCCATAAATTGCCTGCAGGTTGCCCAAAACCAATCACTTCGCGTTGTTACTGGATCAAATCTAATGAGTTCCACTGCCCACCTGCACAGTGAATCCTAAATCCTAACGGTCAAAGACCACCATACCCTTCTGTCATCTCAATTTTTTATCTCTACCTATCGTTCCCACCATCCCATTAATTTTATACATTCACATCCCCCTCCTCCCCGTCTACTTCGCCCCTCAATTATAAGCTGCTTCAAAGAAGACACCCAGAAAATTTTAACCGACTTTTCAGTCTACGCAAACCACCCTCTAGTTCTGGACGACAGAGACGAAGTCTCCACTTTTATTTTTAACTACTACAAACCAATTTTAAAAGACAACCATACCTCCCATGTAACCAAGTTCCTAGCCGAAACCCCTCCGTCTAAAGTTATTTGTATCCCTCCACCAAAGATTGACCCCTCTGAAAAATCTCTCCCACGTCCCACGCGCTGTAAGCTCTCCCAACTCCGGTCTGGCTACAGCCGGCTCCTTAACACTTACCTATCCCGCATCGACAGCTCCATCTCCCACCTTTGCCCAACCTGTTCCCTTGCCCCCCACACAACATGTCACCTTTTCAACTGCTCCCAAAACCCCTCCCCACTCACCCCAGCAGACCTGTGGCTTCGGCCGGTAGAGGTTGCTAAGTTCCTTGACCCGGAGACAGAAGAACCCAACCCGACCCGCGTGGGCTAACAACAACAACAACAAGCCAACAGAAAAATTTCCTGATTTGAAAAGAAAACAAAAAATCATAACGAACTTTAACAGAGCCTGAACTAAGTTCATCGACTCCTAAAACTATCATTAAAAAAATTGAAAAACTAAATCTATAAAAACTTCAGGTTTGTATCGGATAATGTTCATAAATAGCCTTAGAAAAGCATTAAATCATGACTGAGGGGCAAACAGTTTAGATCGAAACAAAAATCCATGATTGGCGAGGTAAGCTAAAAAAAGATAAATGAATCGACGGATATAGGGACGAAAACGAAAAAATACTACTTAAATTGAACTCAATCTAATTACTACCTAAATGACAGTGGTTTCACCTTTTCAAAATATAGTCAGCAGACAGTTGGAAAAGAATCATGAACGCAAGTAAACGGGAAAAAAATAACTTGTTTTTTGAAAGAAAAACATCGTGTTTCGAAATTTAAAGAAAAAATAACTACCTTGAAGCTCTTTGAATTTGAGGAAAAAATTATGAATTGTACTTTTTGATAAAATTAACCCAATTTGAGAAAACTTGATCGATACGTAAATTTATTATCACGCTGGTAAATCTGAAAATTGGAATCCACTTAGGAGAATAACGTTTTTTTGTGACACGAAACTAGAAGTCGATCACGTTTTTTGTGACCTTTTCACTTTTGATGTTCACTGTTCACGATAGTTGATTTTGCCTTCCTTTCAACAAAAGAAATGAACTGAACCTATAAAAATAAATTAAACTTCATACGACGAAAAAGTAACCAAACGTCAAACCGCAAAAAATCAAACTTTATCGTGAACAAATTTTAGACTTTTCTTAACAAAAAAAAATCACCAAAACCTATGAAAAAATTTTCACTAAGTTCATGATTCGTTAAAACTGAGCATGTCGGGAGCCTCAAGGTATAAGTAACTGCACGTTATTTTTTACGATTTGTAAAATGTTGTTTACGGAAAAAAATCTGGTTCCCGATTTCAAGTATACTTAAAAATGACAAATAATCGTGGATACACAACCTAATCAATGGTACACAATGTGATCGCTAGTACAGAACCTTCGTACATATTGGTTGCAAAAAATGGTAAAATTCACAGCAAAAAAAAACATCAAACAGGTCAGGTAAAAAAACTACAATTTTCAACTAATGTAAAAGAGCAAGAAAACTAACTCTTCCTTTGATGTTAAATGTCCAATTCAAATTTCGAATACAGAGATGAGTTGAAGTTTTTCGTTAGTTCGCTATAGAAAACAAAACTCTGTAAAAAACATCAGTTCCTGCACAAGGATTCTTGTCATTCCAGAAATGGACCATTCCTGAATTTTTTTGAGCTTGGTTTAAATTTGGTTAGCAGAAAAAACATACTTTTGAGTTGTTTGCCAGGAAAACCTATTTTACGATTTGACAACAATTGCAAATCACTGAAATTAGAAAAAATTCCTTTAGCTTTCAACTACGTCAAAAAAACTTACTTGAAAATGCAAAACAATCAGAAAAAATTGTGCACAAAAACATTTAGAGTTGCAACCTTTCACACGCCGGACGGTGACAACTAAGAGACGGAAAGAACTAAGTCGAAGAAAAAGTATTGAAAAAACATTTTTTTGGAACAAATGAAAAATTCAATAACAG